CCACAAGAATCCCCTCTTTAGCTTCTTTTTTGTGGGGAGTTAATATTTTTCCGCTTATGGTCTATTATTAGCGGTTCTGGTAATTTTCTTTTCCTGCTAGTTCTTCTAATCTCCGTGGCTACTTGTGGTCTTTGAATTTCAAATGCTTTAAAAATCGCCTCCGTTGAGTCTTCATTTTCCGAAGGTGACGAGCTTGGCTCCTCTACCCGTCTTTTTTCTATCTGATCGATATGTCTCCTGTGAGTGAATTGTTCGCCTTCGATCGTCTACAGAACTTTTCCCAGTCTGCTTATTATCGTACCTGAACATTTTGAAATAGACCCGTTCGCCTGGTTTGAAGAATCTTTTAAGCACTATCCCTGTATGTCGGTTTTGATTTTTGCTGTGTAATATTTTTTCAAAAACAGGTCGTATTTTGCGGGCAAACATCACTTCAGCTGGCGAAAGGCCAGATGGTGTGTTTCCGTTCGGGGTGATTCTGTAGACTTGTAGAAACTGTTGTAGGGCTCTTTATATTGGTATGTCCTCTGCTTTTTTTCAAGGCTCTCTTAAGTGTCTCCACAAAGCTTTCGACTTGACCATTACATTGTGGATGGTATGGTGCTAGTTTAATATGCTTGACTTGATAAGTTGCACATAATTCTTGAAAGTAGCTCGAGGTGAATTGTGTACCATTCTCCGTTACCAGGCAATCTACAACGGCAAATCTTGCGAATAACTCGTATAGACAATTAATTGTGTTTTCCGTCGTAGGGTTTTGTATATGAAAACTTCAGGCCTCTTGCTAAAGCTATCTACCGTTATCAAGTAATAATATCCATCTATGGGTCCTGCATAGTCCGCATGGATTCAAGACCAAGGTCTGTCCACCTTAGGCCATGGTTTTTGTATAATAAGTAGTGCCTTTGCTGCCGCAGCACAGCCTCTACATTTTTCCACCATTTACGTAATGTCGTTATCCATATTAGGCCAATACACAAAACATCTCATTAACGCTTTCATACGATTTTTCCCTGAGTGTCCTACATGAAAGTCCTTCAGAATTCGTCTTTGTAAAGATTTGGGTTTGACCACTCTTTCATTATAATGTAATACGTGATCACAGATTGAAAAACTGTCCGCTAGATTTTTTTCTTTTTCTTCATTTTGTCTCTTTGTACTTCGTATGAATGCATCCATTTCAGCTTCTCTTCTGATTTCTAATAAGGTCACTGGTAATTCCCTTACTGTATTGTTTAGCACTTTACTAATTTCGTCTTCGGCTCGCAAAACCGCTATTACACAGTCTTCTAGTGGTTCGGATTTCGCAGGTACCAATCTCGATAATCCATCTGCATGACCAATTTTCTTCGACAGTAGGAACTCTAGTTTTAAATTATAATTCAATAATATACTTCCCCATCTCAGAAGTCTGTTGGCTGTGTAAATTGGTAGTTCTTTTTTCGATCCGAATAGAGTGATAAGAGATTTATGGTCAGTTTGAAGCGTAAACTCTCTTCCTTATATGTATCTGTGGAAGCGAGTTATGGCGAATATTATTGCTAACGGTTCTTTTTCAATTTGCGAATAATTCCTCTCTGCTGATAACAACGATCTAGATGCATCAGCTATCGGTTTCCTTGTGCCATTTCCCTGTGTAATATACAAGCTCCCACTCCGTGTAAGCTTGCGTCACTAGCCATGATAATTTCCAGTTTGAGAGCAAAATGCGTCAGTGCTAGATCAGACGTTAATTTCTTTATGATCTCCTTAAAAGCTTTCTGACAATCTTCCGTCCAGTTCCATTTGTTAACTTTTTTCAATAATTCATTGAGGGGAGCCCTCAATTTGTGCCTGTTTTCAATGAATTTACTGTAATAGTTCGCTAGACCAAGAAAACTTTTCAACACTGCGACATTTTTCGGCTCAGGCATATTTTTTATTGCAGATGCCCTATCTGGATCTGGTTTTCTGACACTTTCATTGATTATATGGCCTAGATATTTGATTTTTTTTTCTCCTTCACCTTAAAACCAGAATCCTGAATTCTTTTAAAAACTTCTTTAATGTGCGTTGCGTGTTCTTTTACATTATCGCTTTTGATTAAAATATCGTCTAAGTAAGCAGTAGAAAAGTTCTGTCCCATGAGCATTGTATCCATCGTCTATTGAAAGATTGACGGTGCTACTTTTATCACAAATAGCAATCTGTTAAATTTGTAAAGTTCTTTGCGAATATTGCTACATAGAATTTTTGTACTTTCTTCTTCTACTTCGCTTAAATCAATCTTATGAAAATACCTTACCGCCGTTAAGCTTGGTAAATATTTCCTCCGGGTTTGGCAATGTGTAGTGATAATCCTTGATAGCCTTGTTTAACCCAGTCGAGAAATCTGCGCAAACACGGGTTTCTCCGGACTTTTTCTTTACGTAGACTACTGGTGCCGCCCATTCACTGAATTCGATTTGTGAAAGGATTCCAGTTTGGACCAATCTATCTAACTCCTTGTCATTTTTTTCTATGGTTGTGAAAGGCACGTTTCGCTTTTTCTTGAATACTGGCTGAACATTTTCCTTTAGTTCAATTTTAGCTGCAAAGTTATTACATCGTCCCAAACCGCTCGAGAATACTTCGGGAAATTGGCTGTGTAGTTCTTCTTTTAATTTTGTAGCTTCTGACGGCTCGCACTCTATTTTCATACAAAATAAGCTAATCGGTAAATCCAATGCGTCAAATTTTTACATCCAGTCTGTGCCCGCTAAATTTTCTGTGTCTTTCATTACAAATATTTTCATTTTTTTTTCGTTTTTCTATGGAATTTTACGGTTAGAATTACTTCTCTTTCAAATTTGATACGCTTGCCTGTAACAGACTTAGCGATTTTCTGTGTATGCCTCATGGTCGGTTTATTTAGCTTCCTTCATGTTTGTAAATTAATTATAGTTAGATCCGATCCTGAGTCTAACTCTAATTTTACCTTCTTATTTAAGATCTCGAGTTCCACGTATTTTCTTGTGTTTAGTCTGTCTTCGTTGTCCATTCTAATAATTCTTACCCTGCTTGTGTGTTTTTTGTTCCTGCATTGAGAGGCCTTATGTCCCATTTTTCCACAAGCTAAACAGTTCTTGTATTTTAAATCGACAGTTTTTATTCCAGATTAATCCACCACATCTGTAACAAGCAGATGGAGGGGGGGCTTATATTTGCTTTGATCTCTGTCATTAATCGCCTTATACCTTGTAATTTTTGCTTGATCATAAATTTTTTTTTGTTTTTTTCCGTGGGGGGGTGAAAATCGTAAATATTTGTTCAACTTACGTATGTGTGCTACTCCCGATTCCTCGATATCCTTAGATTCTTTTTTATACAGAAGCATTTTGGCAGTCTTCTGACATTTTTTGTAGTGTTAATTCAGACTCATTTTGAAGGTTTGAGAGCATTCTTTTGCGCATTTCACTGTCCTTGGCCGAGACTTTATCCCTGTATGAAAATGAGACACTTAAATTGTCCGGAATCCATACTGCTAATTTAATGTCATCGCAATGTTTGTTCACAATTGCGGCGAACGTGGAGTAGTCCTCATTTTCGCTTTTTACGAGGTTGAAACATTTCAAGAAGAGCTCCGTAAGGCAGATAACTGCCTCGTCAAACGTCAAATCGTTTGTCTTTTTCGGTAGAATATAGTCCACAAATTGTGTGTACTCCTCTGTTCCCAATTTCCTGAGTAGCTTCTTAGCTTCATCCAATTTTGGCAATCAATGTTGAAAATGTCTTCATGACGTTTGTAATAGTCCACGAAATTTTTATCATCTTCTAGAGAGTATTTAAATGTTTCTATTGTGTTCCAAACTCCGTCTTATGAACAAGTCAACTCCTTTTCGATATTCTTTTGTTGTGTGTTGCCCGTTACTTTTAATATTAATTCCTGGAGTTGCATTTGTCTTTCTTCATTTTCCTTCTGTGTTTGTAGTAATTGCTTTTGTCGCTTCTCCTTCATTCTTTCTTGGTGTTGTATTTTCTGTTCATTTTGGTATTTTACAAGTTCTACTAAAATACTTTTAAAATCCTCCATAAGAGTCTTACGAAAAACTCGATTTCCATATTTTGAGGAAGCACATTTTAATTATGCCGGTCACACAAAATCCTCGCAAATCCTCGTAAATCTTTGTCGCCAAGTTGTTGTGGACACTAGCAACGGCATTTTTTTTTTCCGAAGTCCTCGTCGCCAAGTTTTTGTGGATTCCGGGGATGGAATCCTGCACAAATAAATAAACAACGCCAGTAACTGAAATATGTGTATTAAACGTAAGAATAAAAACTTGAAATGAATATTAGTAGTCCAGAAATGTGGGTTAGTAGAAAAGTATATGCAGAAGTCTCTGTAAATGAAGCCGTAATTATTTCTCTTTCTGGACTCTCGTATAACTCGTATTGAACACCCTGTATCGACATTTTTGTCCCGCTATCTCTCCGTAGTATAAGTATACTTTGGACGAGTCCATCTTGTGTACAAGGGGCGATCCCCACAATAATAACATTCATCGAGTGGTTCGTAGGTTAATGCAACTTTAAAATTTCTCCATTTTATATCATTAATTTTACCAATCTACTTTTTGTATCAATGATTCATTGTAATATATATATATATATATATATATATATATATATATGTGTGTGTGTGTGTGTGTGTGTGTGTGTGTGTGTGTGTGTGTATATTTGATCATAGCAGAATCTCATAGACATACATGGCAATACCACCTTCAAACACTTCCAATTAAATACAGCAGACAATGTTTTGGGCGTTTTGCTGATTCGCTGTCCTTGTTTGGAATTTAATGTTTAAATAAATATATAACTCGCGATTATGTCTAATATTTTCCCTATAAATATATGTTCGAGGATATGCTTGTGATTATTGATGTGTGTGTCCCCTTGTATTAAATTGTCGAAGGAAAGTTTGTAATGCAGAGAGTTGGAATTATGAATAATAATAAACGATTGTCTTCAGACTATTCTGAGAATCATGATTTGAATAAAATGTCATTTTTTTTCGCATTTTCCGCTCGTGTCGACAAATATAGAAGAAGAGAAAGATAGAAAAAAAGAATTGAGAAGAACTGAAAATTATAACCGAGAGAGGAAAAAGTTAAAGGATTAACAAGGAAGAAATAAGAAAAATTATAACTGTGATAGGGAAAGTTGAAAGAAAGAAAGAAGGCTTAGAAAGAAGGCTTAGAAAGAAAGAAAGAAAGAAAGAAAGAGGAAGGCCATAATAAAATACAGAAAGAAAGAAAGGGTAATGACAGAAACAAAGTAAACACAAAAAGAAAGCAAGAAGAATTAACGAAAATTATAACGGACTAACGGAAATATTAATATGTATGGAAAGAAAGAAAGAACGAAAGAAAGAAAGAAAGATAGATAGATAAAGGAACAAAAAATACAAGATCGAGACAGAAAAGAGCGAAAGAAAATAGAATATAAACAAAAAAAAGATAAAGAAAGTAAGAATGAAAGAAAACAGAGATAAACGGAACACATGGAAGAAAGAATGATAAAGAAAAGAGAGAAAGAAAATAGAATATAAAAAAGAGAGAGATAAAAAAGAAAGAGAGAAAGAAAGATAGAAAGAAAGAAAGAAAGAAATAAACGCCACAAACCAAATGGAAGAAAGAAGGAGACCGAAAAGAAAGATAATAGAATGTAAACAAAAAGAGAGAAACTAAGAAAGAATGAATTAAAAAAAGAAAGAAAGTAAATTGTGATAAGCGGAGCAAAACAAATGAAAGAAACTGCGAGAGAGAAAAGAGAGAAAGAAAATAGAATGTAAACAAAAAGAGAGAAAGAAAAATGAATGAATGGAAGAAATAACGAATGGAGAAACGAAAGAAAGAAAATAGCAGTACATAAAATCAAAAGAAAGAAAAACTGTACAGAAGAGAAAACGAAAGAAAAATTGAACGGAAGTAAATAAAGAAAAACTAGAAAGAAGAAAAGGACAGAAGGAAAACAGAATATAACGTATACGAGCTAAAAAAAGAAAGAGAAAGGAACAATGAGAAAGTATGAAAGGAATAATTCAGAGAAACAAAAATGGAAAATATGAATATTTATAATAATTGTAATAAAGTAAAAGACATAACAAGAAGACGTAGTTTAATATACACTGGAGACAGTTTTATAAAAACACTCCACAAATTGAGTTTCACCAGCCAAAGTCGAAATATTCTCAGAGACGCTAATTCTATGTGAATGAAAATGGCGTTCATTTTGTTATCCGTAACGCGCATGTGCACTTCCCAATGAAACACCATTCCGAATTGATTGCTGGAAGCGTGAAATGCAATCAGCTTTTGGCGGCAATAAAATCGGCCATTTTCAGTGCGTAAAGCGGTGTTTTTCTTAGCAAATTACTAAAAATTTCCCTTTAATTAATTTCCGATCCTGACTGATAAGTCATTCGGTGCGCATTCAAGACAATACAATAGGATTTTGTGTAAAATAAATTAATCAATGAGATACGTTTTCCGCCTTTCCATCAGGGTGGCTGATGCTAACCTCCAGGAAAATGACTTGCTGGCGTGAAGTAGTAAGACTATATTGAATCCATTTCTAGGTCAACTGTTAAGAAAGAGGATTCACTGAGTCGTACGAAATAGTTTTTCTCCCCTTAATCTATCTTACATATTTATGTCCTTGCTTAGAATGTTGATGTCACATATGGTCGTGTTCCTTGCTATTTACCTTGAGCTCCTTGATAATATCCAAAGAAGAATCAGCAATAATATAGGTCCTGATCTGGCGGCTTTAGTTACTTTCACACCGCCGCAAAGTTGTCTCTCCTTTTCTTTTCTATAAATCCATGGTAATTTGTCGCATTAGCTCTTCGCTATGGTAGCTAGACTTTTTGGAATTCAAGCACAGTACTAGAATGGCGTCGAGGTCCCATCAATTTACAACTTAGCAGGCTAACCGTAAATTCTATGCTAACTGTTTCTTCACTCGCACTTTTCGCTTCATTTTGAATAAAATTAAAAGCAAAGTCAATCGCTGTCTATTGTTCTCCTGATTAATCTTTCCTCTTAATGTTCATAATTTTTGGCTCTTCCCAAAAATTCCGCGATTTTAATTATACATTTCGAGGGACTTCCAACAAGAGGGCGATTCTTCGGCTGTCGTCTTATCTGATGTCTCTGGTACATTAACTTCATTATTAGCTATGCCGTTTTGTGTGTGTGTGTATTTTTTTTCCCTTTAGTTTGTGTTTTGGGGGTTGATTCCAAATGTTTAGTTTTCCTTTTATCTAAGGTAAACCGCTTTTTCTCGGCCATCTTGTTTTTTTTTTTTAAGTCTCAACTAATCTAAGCGTGCAAATATTTAAAGTAGATAAAACAAAATTAGAATAGCGGGAAGGAGAAAAAAAGCAAGATAAAAACTGAAAATTTCAATAAAGAAAAAAAGCGTAAATTCCTTCTACAAAATAAATGTTAAAAAAGAATCTACAATGACAGAGGTGGGGGGAGAAAAATCGTAATTATTAAATAAAATGAAAAACTGATTAATGTGGGAAAAAAAAAATCGAAATAACTCCATAAAAAAAAGATTAGCGAAGTAATTTATAATTAATCTATGGTAAATGATTTGAACCAAAATATTCAATTTAAAATTAAAAATAAAAAAAAAAATAAAAAAATAAAATGAAACTATGTAAAATGAAATTTTTCCTACAGAAGAAAAAAGAAGATAAACACCGCCGAAGGAAAAGAAAAACAAACAATAACAGAGTTTAAACAAGAATGTTGAAGAAATAAAGCCGTTTTGCGATAAATCTTGTATGGCACTTATCGCATTTTGCAACAAAACAGACTCGAAAGTAAAAAAATAAAAAAAAAAATAAAATGAAATAAAAAAAAAATAAAAATAAAAATATCACAACATATAAAACATGATTTTGATATGTAGTAGAGTGATGAAATACAAAGCCATTGATAGTGTTAACTCAAAAATTTTGAAAATGGCGTTTATCGCACTTTGTATTCGATCTGCTCAAGTAGAAAAAAGCTTTTTGTTAAATTACTTGGGACAACCAATTAAGTAGTGTCGAAGGTATAAATCTGGTTATTTTCCCCTTATTTCTGAAGATATTTCAATAATTCAAAATGTGCCAATAATGGTAAGCATTACTGCAAAGAAATAATATATAATTGTGCTTCTTTTTAGAATAAATTCGATAAACAAATGGAAATTATTTATAATTCAAACTTACACAAGAATTATTTCGAAGTCTTCTTCTCACCTTTGTTGCTCCTGTTGTTAATACAGGCATAACATTTCGGCCAAATATCCTCTTGCCATAATCAGTCTTCCTGGATAAGACGTTAAACTACATCCGCATCCTGGGTAAGACTATAAACTAAATCCGCATCCTGGGTAAGACTATAAACTACATCCGCGTTCTGGGTAAGACGATAAACTACATCCAGCAGCAAGGCCTCTGATCAGGTTTTGAGAAGCGTGGAAACACCTCTTAATTGTTGGTGTTCGCAGGTCCACCCTGATCCGGGGTGGTAGCACCTATTAGACTCCCAGCCTTGGGCAAATAGTTTACTTTTACCAGCAATACTTTTTTGTAAAAGACTATTACCAGCAATACAATTTTGAAGGAAAAATTTTGCCAGAAAGAGATTTTTGACAAAACAAAATATTACCAGCAATAAAAAATGTTGTCAGCATTAGATAACCCATTGAGGTTGATATACCGTAAAGTAAAATAAACCAAACCAATCTAAACCAAAGAATACATATTCTATTCATACGAACCTATCCTAAAGATGTTGTCGGCATTAAATAACCTATTGAGGTCGATATAACGTAAAGCAAAATAAACCAAACCAATCTAAACCAAAGAATATATATTCTGTTCATACGTATCTATCTTAAAAAATGTTGTTGGCATTAAATAACCCATTGAGGTTGATATGTCGTAAAACAAAATAAACCAAACCAAACTTGCCATAATCAGGTATCCCATGTTTGGCTGAGATGGGATTTCTGTTGATTATTGTGCAGTTTTGTTTCTGTTATACCTGTTATTGTTCCCCCTGCTGAACCAGTAATTCACTGCATGTGCCAGAGATTAAACACACGAACATTAGATTGAGTTGATGTAGTTCTACGTCACATAAAAGACCTGCGTCCTTTCCTAGAGACATACTCATCAGAAATATGAAACCAGCTCGGATGAAAGTGAAAGATTTATCCAGTTAGGATCCCCTCGCCGGAACCCGATGAATCACGTACAGACGTACCAAATTTACTAAGCTGCTTCCTTGTCACTAGCTGTCAGGGTTCTGGTACGAGAGCGCCTCACAAAATCTTAGATAGCGAAGTCGGAGTTTGCTCCTGAGAACGAGTAGGCGTCTAGATGAAATGCGACCTTTGCAAGTGAACAGGGCCAACAAACTATTTCGACGGATAGATATATTCCATTCCTTCATAGACAGCATATATGATTACTGAATAATTCCAGAGTTTGGTGGTACTGCTACGGCGAACCAGTTATGTTTATTGTTGTGTAGTCAACAGGAGAGGGTGACACACGTATCGAAAATAGGAAGTAGCTTATTCAGGATAATAATATGGTACAGGGTTGAGAACACACACTAATGTAATAAACAATTAATCGTTAACTCCTCCGTATTACCCGAGACCTACTCAGTGTTGAAGTTTTTGGGTACCCTGGTGTACTAGTGAGCCAGCCAAAATTTTATAGTTCACCAATAGAAGGGTTAACCAATCAGAAGGGTTAACCAATCAGAAGGCTCAAAATATTCAATGCGACATTTATAAAGGCGGTCATGTTTTTTCCCGAATACTCACTGCCAGCCTCTGATATCAAAGACTGAAAAATTACAGAACAGCTGCTGGTGGTATTGGCGATATAGTCAGATTCAGTAGAGTGTCTGACTCATGAGTGTTAATCTTTAACGTTGTTTCATTGAAAAGATTAAGTACTGCGCTGTATTCTATATTCATAGACTCTGGTGAACATGATCAACACTCAGAAGGCGGGATCTGGCACAAAGCCGGTTTTTCTCGTGGGGTTTTCCGAGCACGTACACTCGGACAAAAATTCACCATAGACCCCACATAGACAGGGTCGGGCAGCTGTCTACCTTCACAGACGAGACTCAGTCCGTAGGCATAGCTTCGTCTGAATTCCTCTCCGCTTGCAAAGCAGAAAGTCGACAAGCAGAGTCAACCGTAATCGTTACCACATAGGTATTTACCCGAGCGCTTCCAGCAAGGCGGGATATGACACAAAGCTGGTTTTTAACGCTCGGGTAAAAATTCTCCGTGGACCCCGCATAGACAGGGCCGGGCTTCTGTCTGTCTCCGCAGAAGAGACTCTGCCAGTAGAAATAACCTTGCGTGGGTTTCTCTCTGCCTGAAAGCAAAGAGGTCAACTAGAAGAGCTTTAACAGAATCTAATCGTTAACTGCTCAGTATTTGCAAGAGAACACCCCCACAAAAGACGGGATGTAGCCAGTTTTTACGTGGGTGTTCCGAGTCGGTAGACTCGGGCAAAAATTGCCCGTAGACACCGTATACATGGAGTTGGGTAGCTGTTTACCTCGCCAGCCTAGACTCTAACCTTCGGAATAGCATCGTCTGTGTTTCTCTCCGCTCGAAGGAAGAAAGTCGATTAAGAGAGTTAACTGTAATCGTTAACTGCTCTCGCACAGTAAGAGAGAGTGCTGTTTAGATAGTCCTTCTTGTGGGAGTGTTCAGCTACTCCACAACAACAACGGATTCAAATACAAGAGTTTTTGTTCAGGACCGGGCTCCTTACGACTATCTAATACTAGAACTGAAACGAAAAAAGATGAATTCTGAGAATGTTAGTGATAGATTCTTTTAGAAACGAGAAAGTGTATCACGCATGGCACATAAAATAGCAGGAAAGACCGGGTTCTATAGTCTTGGATGGCAACTAGTCTACCGCAGAAAGAAATGGCAACCAACTGCGGGGAAAATCTGCCTCGTCAGTCATGTATCGAAAGATACATGATCGCCTAAGCGTGTATCACGCATGGTACATAAAATAGCAGGAGAGACCGGGTTCCATAGCCTTGGATGGCAACTAGTCTACCGCAGAAAGAAATAGCAGCTTACTGCGAGAAAAAAAAAATCAAGTCATTGTTTTGTTTTTGTTTTTTTTTTTTTTTTTTGTTTTTTCGGGGTTTTTTTTTTTGTTAAAACCTCTCGGAATAAGGCTGGCCCTAACAAAAGCAATTATAAAAACATCATTTCGTTTAAGTTGAAATAAAATGTTTCTTTAAAAAAGAAACCACATGCTTATCAGATAAGATTTATGGCTAAAAGGCCGAAGATCACAAAAAGGAATACTCAACCAAAAAGGGAATAGTTGAGAAATGAAATTTCGCGCGTGATATTTTAAACGAACTTTTCAGAAGTAAAAATACGAAAGAAAATTATGGAATAGGATATTTAAGAGAACACGTCTTCATTCTGAGATCTTTTCCCCCGTGTGGTTCCCACATTTACATGGGATCGCATTTAAAAAATAGTTCTTTTTTTTTTTTTTTTTTTTTTTTCAGAAGTTAAGATATCTAACGGAAGTCCTACTCGTTCCAAGAGAAAATTATGGAAGAAATTTTATTCTCCGGTCTGAAAAAAAAAAAAGAAAAACCTACGTCTTTTAATGACGTTGGGAAGTCGATATTCGGTCTGGAGTGGTACCAGATCTTGATCTATTGTAACAATAAAACCAGGAGCTGCATTTGAAGCCGTGTATTTGGCTTTTATTACCCGTTTTTTCTCAACTGTTTTTTCTCAAATGATTCACACCTCGATCGTTTAACGTACAAAGAAAAATGTTTATGTAAGAAAAAAAAGAGAAATGATTTGTGTTGAGTATGAAAAATGCTATACGAATTTTTTTTTTCTTATTAATCAAACAAGAACGCGAATCGAAAATTGAACAGAAATAAATAATTTAACCTTCTCGAAACGGACCCAAGCTGTATTGCGTTGGCGAAGAGTTTTATTGCCATTAACTGGTGTTAGACGAAATTTGTTGTGACTAATTCTATTCGGAAAGATTGATTGGATGGTCAGATTTTTACTTGAGTGTATTGCATAATGATTGGGCCATTGACAATGAAATAGTATAAATCTGGTTTACATTACATTACTCTGATGCGTGTAATCGAAAATATGGAAGTTATTTTCGTACATTTTCCGACTATGTCGAGCATATTACATCCACCACGTTTATTAATTTCCTAATTTTTAGCTCTTTAAATAATTCCTCCACCTGTTTATTACATTGTGAGAAACATTCCGACCTCTCCAACTATTAAGTCTTCTTTGTGTTAGATACACATGGATACGACTCTTTCTTAAATAAAGAAGATTTTTCATAATAAAAACGGGTAAGTGATTTCTAAAAATAGCGTTTGTGCAATTCAGTCTAAGAATTTCAATAGATTTGTCGCGGATGAGGATTTCGATGCAAAACACCTGAGCCGGCGAATCAGATGTGTTAAATAGATTGGTTTGGTTTGTTTTACGGTATATCACCCTAAAAGGGCTATTGTCTTCATCTTTGTCGCCATATTTATTACAGCGTTTCGACCGTTGTACGCCCCAGCCATCTTCAGGTGGTTGGAATGTCGAACTGAACCCTTTATTTCATTCACTGGTGTAGACTGTTCTAGTTCCACGTGCCATGTCTAACGGATGTCAGTTATCAGTTATCTCCTGTTAATTCCCTCTCCAAGTTCTCCACCGTCTTAACCAGGTATTGTCATCAAGGATACATGGCACAGTGGATAAAGGCGTAAGTTAGATCCAGTGACAGGACTCAAAGAAGGTGACTTAAATACCTGGTTAAGGCGATGGAGAACTTGGGGAGAGGAATTAACAGGAGATAACTGACATCCATTAGACATGGCACGTGGAACTAGAACAGTCTCCCCCAGAAATAAAAGGTTCAGTTCGACATTTCAGCCACCTAAAGAAGGCCGGAGCGTACAACGGCTGAAACGTTGTAATAAAAATGGCGACAAAGATGAGGACAATAGCCCTTTAAGTGGCAAATTTTTCAACCCCAGACTCGTTCTTCTCTAAAGGACGTGCCCCTTGCTTATCCGGGTGCTAATCGATTCGGTATGAGTTTTCGTTTGTGAACATTGAGATTTGTATTTTTTTTTTTTGAGTTTTCCTCTTAACTGCCATGTGGTAACTTTGTTCAAGATACGACATTCAGTACTACTTGACTGAAGAGCTCGTTCGGTCCATTTGTTATTATTATTATTATTATTATTATTTATTTATTTATTTATTTATTTTGTTTCCTTTGATTTCTGGTCTGTACACATTTCTTTCCAGGTCCCGCCCAGAGGCCAAGGTTAGAAATGGCATCATGATATTTTCCACTGACCATTTAATAAGAATAAAAATATTATTATTATTATTTTTATTTTTTATTTTTATTTCTGGCATTTACACATTTTTTTCCGAGTCCTAAGGTTAGAAATGTCATCACGACACTTTCCAGTGACAAAAAAAAAAATACATAGATAAAGCCCTTAGTAAAGTGTAGGCTGTATTTGTCAGAACAATTTTTTGTATCTCATTGAGGCATGGACTTCCAGGAATCCCTTCAATTAGTCTACTGCAATCTGTTTCAACCAGTCCTAGGGCTCCAACTACAACAGAGATTGTTGATGTTCCCATATGCCACATCTTCGATTTTTCTACTTCAAGGTCCTTGTATTTTGACAGCTTTTTGAATATCTTCAAAGATACATTGCAGTCAGCAGGGACTGCCATATCAATAAGGAGGCACCGTTTTTGTTTGTGGTCTTTAATAACAATATCTGGCCGGTTGGCCTTGATTGTTCTGTCAGTGTGTATTGTGTAGTCCCATAGAATTGTAACAGGTCCTATCTCCGTAACCGGTTCTGGGTGTTGTTCATACCAGTTTCTTTCAGTTTCCTTCCCGTAGAAGTCGCAGATTTTCCAGTGCAGATATTGGCCCACTCTGTCATGTCGGGTTTTATATTCAGTGGGTGCCAACACCGTGCAACCTGATACAAGATGATCAATCGTTTCTGGATATTTATCACAGAATCTGCATTTTGGGCTGACACAATATTTTAGTATATGTGCTTGATAGTTAGCAAGCATTGGTCCTGTGCAGCAAGGATAAAACCTTCAGTTTCAGCTTTCAACCCTGCACTACACAGCCACTGACTGGTACAGGTTTTGTCTACGTAAGCTTGTTTGGTACGGGCAGAGTATTGGCCATGAACGCTGTTTATCTTGTCATCACTTCTGTATCTGGTCGGTTGCATTCGTCTTTGTTGTATTTTTTAAATATTTTGCAGTTTCAATCGGTGTATTGTGTGGTACTTGCATCTCTATGCCCATTTGAATCTCCATTTTGAATTTCTTGGCTTCTTTTATTACGGAGTAA